ACCCACCCGAAAGGTAGTAACTAGCTGCTTCACACTCCTCTGCCATGATGTACTGAACCTTCAAACTATTGGCCAGAATAAACCCTTTCTTCCTTAAACTGATTATGTCACAGCAATAAGCAACTACTATAGAAGAATCGCTGTGGGCTGTCTTTCTGGACACTGTGAATATATGTTGTTCCCAATGGTTAATAAATAAGCTGTTTGGTCTACGGCAAGGAAGCTCAGAGGCAGGCAGGAAATCTGAGAGACAGGAAAAAGAAAGGCGGAGTCTGGTGAACTCTTCTGGCTAGTACTTCCCCAAAGTCCGCACACAGAAGCTGTGTTCCAGAGTGGGCCAAGGCTGCATCTCATGTGGGCAGTCAAACCTGCTAGTAAGAGTCACCATGTGGCACTGCTTCTGAAGTCACGATGGGATCAGGGAGAGGCATTGGCGAAGGTGCAGCTTGAGCTGCAGTACGAGGCCCAAGATTGAAGGGATCATGGGCAGAAGTTGTGGCCTGGCACCATGTGGCAGGGTCACAGTCTCTGAAGAAAGCCCAGGAGAGGTTACTGGTGAAGGTGCTCAGTTGAAGTGGAGACTCCAGCATTTTGGAGATGCTAGTACCATGGGATGACCACCAAGGAGAGCAGCAATGATGGGGTACCAGCCTGAGCTAGGAGAAAAGCTGTGTGTGTGCTGTGGCAAGCCTTTTTGCTGTGAATTATGCTCATTGTTAAAAACAACAACAACAACAAAAAAAAACTGATTGGCCGAGAGCAGGGCAAGAAGAGATTGGGTGAGAGAACCTGACACAGAATGATGGGAAGAAGGGCGGAGTCAGTAGAGTCAAGAGATGCCAGCCAGCCAGCTGCGCAGGAAGCTAGACAGGTAAAGCCACAAGTCACATGGCCATACATAGGTTAATAGAAATGGGTTAATTTTAAAGTAACAGTTAGCTAGTAACAAACCTGAGGTATCAGCCAAGCATTTATAATCCATATTCAGCCTCTGAGTCGGTTATTTGGGACCAGGTGGTCAGGACAGGAAACATCTGTTTACACCTTTTGGAGCCTAGAAGACTGTGAGTCTCACAATAGACACTTAAGCTTTATATCACTGGATTTCAGCTTTGTTTTCCTTTGATTGTGACTGTCATGGCTCTCTCCTCTTGAAATAAAGTAAACTTGTTTTTGATTTTTCAGGAACCCATAGTTATGAGACCTTAGAGAAACTTCGGAATTCTAAAGAGACTTTAAATATTTTAAAGAGACTGAAGTTTGTTTTTTTAGTTTTTGGAGACAAGGTTTCTCTGTACAGCTTTGGAGCCTGTCCTGGATCTCACTCTGTAGCCCAGGCTGGCCTCGAACTCACAGAGATCCGCCTGCCTCTGCCTCCCAAGTGCTGGGATTAAAGGCATGCACCACCACTGCCCAGCAAGAGACTGAACTTTTAAAGTTTGGGGCTTTTAAAGTTTGGGATATGTTTTATATTGTGACGTTGATATTAATATGACATCTTGGGGACAACAATAAAGGGAAGGTTTTGATTTAACAATGATGTGTTTGTGTGTCAAGTTGACAAGGTCGATTGTGCCAACTAGTTTTATGTCAACTTGTATCTGGGAAGAGGGAATCTTTTTTTTTTTTTTAAAGATTTATTTATTTATTATGTATACTGTGTTCTGCCTACATGTATGCCTGCAGAAAGAGGGCGCCAGATCTCATTACAGATGGTTGTAAGCCACCATGTGGTTGCTGGGAATTGAACTCAGGACCTCTGGAAGAACAGCCAGTGAATCTTATTTGAGAAAATGCCTCCACAAGATGTAGGCAAGTCTGTGGTGCGTTTCCTTTATGGTGACTGCTGGGGGTGGTGCCACCCCAGGCAGGTGACCCTGGATGTTATAAGAAAGCAGGCTGAGCAAACCAGGCGGGGGTAAGCTAGTAAGTAGCATTCCTCTACGGAATATGCTTCAGTTCCTGCCTTGAGTTCCAGCTCTAACTTTCCTCATGACAGACTCTAACTTTAAGATGAAATCTTCAAGTTCCTTTGGTCATGGTCTTTTAATCACAAGAAACCCTACACTCAGTCCTTATGCCTGTGCAGCAAGCACTGTACACAACAAGCTGTCTCTCCAGCTCTAAATTTGTTTTTGAGACAGGGTCTCACCATGTAACTAACTGGTCCGGTGGAACATACTAAGATCCACCTATCTGTCTCGTAAGTGTTGGGAATAAAGGTGTGCTCCGTCATGCTCAGCCTTTGTTTTTGGATGTGATGGGGCTCACAGTTAAGAGCCTGCCTAAGTTTCAGAGAGACTCTGTCCTTCTATTTTTGAATAGTGTTTGGACAGTTACAGACTATCTAGACTTTGAAGTTGAACTAAATCCATTTTGTATTATGAGATGGCTATGAGCCTATGAGGCCCGAGGATGGGAGGTTATGGCTAATAAGGGTCATGTTTGGGCACCAAATTGACAAGGGGTGAACTCATGATAGAACTGTCTACTTGAAAGGACCTAGAATTATCTAGAAGACAACTTTCTGAGTGTGTCTGTGAGCTTTTAGGTTGGGTTAACTGACATGGGAAGACCCATAGTAAAGCAAAACAAAACAAAAATAACCTATTCATTCCTTTAGCCAGAGTCCTAGGCTGAATAAAAAAAATCAGAGAACCAGCATTCATTTCTCTCTGCTTCCTGACTGCTCAGTAGCCACATCCCGCTCTTGCTGCCTCGATTTCTGTACATGATGGAATGTATCCTTAAACTGGCAAACACATCTACCTGTTAAATTCCTCTGGTCACAACAACCAGAAAAACAATTCCTTACTCCAACAGGTACCCTTCTTACTCATGTGACATTATTCTCCCTCCCTTCACAATCCTTGACACCTCCCCAGAATATCCCTTGCTGAAAGTCCTCTCCCGACCCCTCTCTACTGTCTTGTACCATGCTCTCACCTGACTCCGAGCAATCTTAAAGGGTGTAGCATTCACCATGTGGCTCTTTCGGATGCCACTCCATCTGGTCCGGTAGTCCACAATATGGCAGGGGGGGCGGACGTACTCATCGTAAAGCACATCTCCATTGTAGTTCACAATGCTGCATCGAGCCAAGGAACTAACACGCCCCTTGGGTCCTGTGCCCACCATTTCACAGTCCAGGGCCACCATCTTCCCCGGCAAGTTCTGGGAGACTTTAAGGCACTTGTCCTCTGAACGAGCTTGGGTGGAGCTTTGTGCAGCATTTTTCTTCAAGGACTTCTTCTTGGAGCCTTTATTCTCGGAATGAGCTTGAGTGGAGTTCTGCCCAGCACTCTTCTGTGAGGGCTTCTTGGAGTCCTTACTCTCCGAATGAGCTTGGGTGGAGTTCTCTGTAGCATTTTTCTTCAAGAGCTTCTTGGAGCTCTTGTTCTGGGTGTGAGGTGGGTGGCTCTTAATCTTTGGAAGGGCACTCTGAAACTCCCCTAGCAAATCTATTTTAGCCACAACAGAATCAGTTTTCTTTGAAGGAGCAGGGGTCAGCCAAGACAACGATGCTTTCTTGTCTGTGGACTGCTCTGACTCCCTCTTGGAGGCAGCTGCTTCCTTCTTCTTTGGGCATGGAAGGATCTTCAAAATGCCATCTACTCTTGAAGAAGTTTCCCCTTTCTTTGGAGGTTCTGAGTGCAACTTAGACACCTTGCTAGGAGGTTGGTTCTTTTTATTCAGAAATCCTCTCTGCTCTAAGAACCGTCGCTTCTTGACAAAACGTTGGTGCTTGGCATTTCCTCCAAATGCCTTTTTTGGAGGTTCCCCAAAATCCAAATTCAGGAGTATGGTGGACATGAGGGCAGTGGACGGTGGGAGAGCAGCGGGGAAGACTGGCTTACTAATGGAAGAAGGACGAGAAGCTCATTCTCCGTGGAATCCCATAGTCCAACATGTGGAGGTCTGCAATTAGCCCTGGGGACAAAAGTAATCCTGATACCTGTACCATAGGCCTGGTGGGGGGTTGGGGGCGGGAATAAGATAAGACCAATCCTGGAAAGCTTAAGCTATATACTGCAAGCACAAAGCCCAGATACTAATGAAGCCCTACAATTCAACTTCGGGTGGATCTTAAGAGGGATATTTCCACTCTCCAGAGGCCCAGGGTTCAGTTCCCAGCACGCATGTGGTAGCTCACAACATCCGTAACTCCAGCTTCAGGGGGATCAGATGCCTTCTGATCTCTGCAGATCCCAGGCCCTTACATGGTGCATATATACACACGCAGGCAAAGCACTCACACAAATAATAAATCTAGTAACATAAAGTGAAGATGCTGAGGCTGGGGATAAAAAGGGGGTTGTGGAGCCCACGGACTTCGAACTCTGCCAAGTCTATGAAGTCAAAACAGGGGGGGTTGTGAAAACAGCAGAGAAGGAAAACTCCTCAGTATGTTTGCCATCGGTGACAGGATTACCCAGAGGCATCCTCAGAAATGAAGGATGGCACCAGAAAGGAAGAGCAAATCCAGGCACTGCTCTTCTTCAGCTCCACGTGGGGGCGATCTTCTCACGCACCTCATGTGTGTCGTCCCCTTCCCGCCTCCCCGCGACCCCCATAGCAAGGACCTGTGACACCACACATCACCAAAGGATCTGAGGGGAGGAGACTCAAGAATCGAGGCGGACCACCTTGTCCCGCACACTCTGACGGTGCAGGCCATCCCCGAACACCCCACACACCTACCTCCAGGTTGGGTCCCACTAAGATCGCAAGCGTCCGGAGCCGGATGCGGACGCAGGCGCGCGCCGACGTACACCGGGACGGCAGGAGCGCGGGTGGCAGCGCGAAGGCGGCCGGCGCACACGCGCCCGCAGCGCCCCCGCCTCAGGCAGCGAGGCCAGCGACTCGGAGTGTGTGAGCAGCGGCAGCGGCGGCGGCGGCGGCGGCGGCGTGGGCGGGGGCGGGGGCGGGATGCGCTCCCCGGCCCCTCGGGCCCCGTGGAGGAACAACTCGAAGGTGGTGGGCCGCGGAAAGCGGAACAGCGCGCGCCGGAACCGTGGCCCCACTTCCGGGAAGGAGGGCGGGACCTGCACAGCGGGGCGCCGGGCGGGAAGCGCGTGCTGGGCGCGCCTCTGTGACGTCACCGGGGCCCCTCGCGTCTCCAGCGCGAATGGCCTTGCCCCGTGGAGGCCGTGACATTTGACAAGTGAGCCTTATGCTTTCAACCTGGACGCGACTGCGGGAAGAGGTGTTGTCGGGCGAGCTCGGAGTACTTGCTTCGCGTTGGGCCTGCCCAGTCCAGCCCGGGTCTCACGCCCTCGCGGTACCGGCCGCGGACCTTCTCACCTCCTCCCTCCTTGCACCGCCAATCGGCCCCCAAGATGCCGGGCGTTTCGGCCCGTGGCCTCTCGCATGAGGAGAGAAGGCAACTGGCTGTGAACCTCACCCGCGTCCTAGCGCTCTACCGTTCCATCCTGGACGCCTACATCATTGTGAGGCCCCTGGGCTGAGGACCGGGTGCTTCTGGTGGTGGGGGTGGTTAGAAGGCTGCTACAGAGGAAATCTGGAGACAGCTTTCATCTCTTCTGAATTTCAGCCTGTCCAGGAAAGCTGAAGACTAGATAATTCCTCCCCCAGCCTTCTCTCTAATAATCAAGTTGTTGGGCTGTGATGCAATTGCGTGGACCTTAACTGGAAACATACGAGATGTTCCAGAGCATACACGTTCTGGCTTTGAGTACATTTCTGGTTTTGTGGCATAGCGAGCAGTTGAGCTTTGATATTAGACGGAACTGAACTAGAGTGTTGTCTGCACTGTGAACATTGAATTTTTTCTTTCCCCTTTCATTCCAATCCCGGTTTTCTAGACTATAAAATTGATCTCTATCTGGAGGATATTGTGGGGGAAATGAGATAACATGTCAATGTCACCATCTTCAGATTAGAATTTCTCAAGCCACCATTCATTCATTCATTCCTAGTCTTGCCTCTACCTCCCCAGTGCATCCGAAATTCATCCCCTTTCTCCTCCCTCTCTTTTATTTTGGAGACAGGGTTTCGCTCTTTTTCAGGCTAGTCTGAACCCTTAGTGATCCTCCTGCTTCAGCCTTCTAACTACTGAGATTACAAGAATGAGGCACCACAACTGTATTTTATGAGCACTGGTATGATGTCAGGTGTCAGATCCCCTGGAACTGGAGTTACAGACTCCAGTGAGCTATCATGTGGTGCTGGGAATTGAACCTGGGTCCTGTGGAATAGCAGCCAGTGTGTGTCACCACCGCAAGTCACAACCTTGCTTTTTAAATTTATTTTTTTGTTTTGTTTTGTTTGTTTGTTTCGAGACAGGGTTTCTCAGTGTAGCTTTGGTGCCTGTCCTGGATCTCACTCTGTAGACCAGGCTGGCCTCGAACTCACAGAGATCCACCTGGCTTTGCCTTCCAAGTGCCAGGATTACAGGCATGCGCCACCACTGCCCGGCGCTTTTTAATTTTTTTTTAATTTTATTTTTATTGATGTGCACATATGTGTGGGTGCCCAGTGAGGCCAGAATAGGATGTTGGGTCTGGAGCTTGGGTTATAAGCCCTGGTCCTCAGCAAGAGCAGCAAGTGCTCTTAATTCCCGAGCTCTTTCTCCAGCCCCTCTTGCTTCTTGGGTGCTTTAATGGAATACTAATTCTTTAACTATTAGCTACATGATCTAGTGTCTGCTGCCCTTCTGTCTCCATCGGGTTTTGTTGTTGTCCCACTTCGATTACTCTGCAGTCATTGAGCTGTCTGGAATGTCCCTCCACTAAATGGCAATAAGTAGTGTACTGATGAAAGGAAGTGCTTGGCCAGATGTGGTACCCACTTGTAATCCTAGCACCTGAGAACTAGATTCAGGAGAATCAGGAGGCCAGGTTCCCTTGGGCTACAAAACTGTTGTTCGAATCTTAGACGGTCTTTTAATAAAAAACCTAGAGCCAGATATCAGGATGAAAGCTGAAAGATCAGAGAAGCAGAACAGCCAGCCACTAGTTCTTCCCTCTACGAAATCCTCAGCCTAAAGAGAGTGAGTTCCTGTTTTCTCATGCCTTATATATCTTTCTCTCCCCTGGGATTAAAGGCATGTGTGCTTCCCGAGCAAAGGCATGAGATCTCAAGTGCTGGGATTAAAGGTGTGTGCCACAACTGCCTGGCTCTGTTTCTCTCCTATACTGGATCAATCTCAAGAAGCCCAGTGTGGCCTTGAATCCACAGTGATCCAGATGGATCTCTGCCTCGGGAGTAATAGGATTAAAGGTGTGTGCCACCACTGCCTGACTTCTATGTCTAATCTAGTGGCTGGCTCTTTTCCTCTGGCAAGTTTATTAGGGTACACAATATATCACCACACAAAAGAAGTACCAGACCAGCCTGGACTGGACTATATTACTTAAAAAAAAAAAAAAGGCAGGCCAGGCCTTGGTGATGGTACCTGCCTGTAATCCTACCCCTCAAAAGACAGAGGCAGGTGAATTGCCTTGATTTGCAGCCAGCTGGAACTAGTGTTAAGACTCCTCTCATTCTGCCCCACACATCCATCCATCCATACACACAGAGAAAAACACCTACAAGGCTTGTTGGCGGGGAGCTGTAACTTTACAACAGTGGTTCTCAACCTTCCTAATGCTGCGACCCTTTCATACAGTTCCTCGTGTTGTGGTGACCCCCCAACCATGAAATTATTTTATTGCTACTTTATAACTAATTTTGCTACTGTTAGGAATCGTAATGTAAATACCTGATATGCAAGATATCTAATATGCCACCCCCAAAGAGGTCTCAACCCACAGGTTGAGAACTGCTGCTTTTGAGTAAATGCTTGTCTAGGGCTAGAGAAATGGCGATGTAGTTAAAAGCATGTACTGTGCTGATCTGCGAGCCTTTAATCCCAGCACTTGGGAAGTAGAGGCAAGTAGATCTCTGAGTTTGAGGTCAGCCTGGCCTACAAAGTGAGTTCCAGGACAGCCAGGACTGTTACACAGAGAAGCTCTGTCTTGAAACTCCCCACCCAAATAAAAGAAAAAGAAAAAAAGACATGTACTGCTTTTTCAGAGGACCAGTTCTATACCCAGCACCCACACAACTGGTGGCTCACAGGCATCTTTAACCCCACTTCCAGGGGATTTGATAACTCTGATTTCCATGGACACCTGCATTTATCAATAAAAATTGAGAGTCAAATATTGGGGTAAGAACCTGAAAGATCAGAGACGCAAGAAGCGGCTGCCAGTCCCCTCCTGCCTCTTCCGTCCAAGATCCTCTCAACCTTGCCTTACCACTTACGTCTCCTGTCTGTAGTCCTCCAAACCTCTATGATCAGCTAGTGGCTAGCTCTGCCCTCTTATTCCAAGCAAGCTTTATTAGTCAGAAGACAATCAAAATATCACACACAACACATAATTAATAATAAAAGTACTTTTGAAATTGAAGGGGGTTGTGGTGGTGCACCACTTTGAGCCCCAGGCTAGTGAGGGCTACGTAGTAAAATCTGTCTCAAAAAATCCTCTGAAGTAAATAAATAAATGCTTGCTTAAGTGTTTTCAGAATAGTGAAAATATATGTGTGAGTGTTTACTTTTGCTTGTATTTTCTTTACTTGACAACTCTGAAGTGTTAGCGCACACATTTATTTTTTCTCTATGGCGTTTACAGTAGTTGTCCATTAAGCTCTCTGTTAAAGTTTACATGAATGTTTTGTCGAATGTTGTATTTATGCTAGCTGAAATCATTATTTGCATTAGTTTGCAATTCTGGAGATGGAACCCAAGATCCCGTGCATGCTCATCAAGCACTCTTTGTTGTTGTTTTATTTTTTGTTCGTTCGTCTTTTCTTTTTTTGGTTTGGTTTGGTTTTTCAAGACAGGATTTCTCTCTTTAACAGCCCTAGCTGTCCTGGAACTAACCTTGTAGATCAGGCTGGCCTGATCTGGTTGTCCCAGAACACTATATAGACTAGGCTGAGCTTGAGCTCACAGAGATCTTCCCGCCTCTGCCTCCTGCGTGCTAGGAAAAGGTGTGTGCCATTATGCCAGGCTGCAAACCATTTTCTGGAGGCTGTTTGCCAGAAGACAGGGTAGGTGTTCTTGCCATCAGGTTGTGGAGACCAGAGTCTGATTCACTGGCAGGTAACTTCTCTAACAACTAAGGCTTTTTAATTAGTTGATTATTTTCAGAAGGAGTCTCACTATGTAGAACAGGATGACCTTAAACTCACAGAGGTATTCCTGCCTCTGCCACCTGAGTGCTGGGGTTCTTTGGTGTTCACCACCACGCCTGGTCCCCAAAGCCCCAGAGTTTAAAAAGAACAAATGAATGAGTTAAAATACACAGCTGTCTGTATCATAAAATAGCAGGTTACTTAATGGTTATTTGTTAATGCTGTGTTGTCAGTCACTGATCATACTAGGGATACAGATGTGAAAAAAATTGGTCAAGCCAGGCATTGTGGTATATGCCTTGGGGTAGAGGCAGATCTTGGATTCTAGGCCAGCCTTCTACACAGTTCAGTTTCAGGACAACCAGGGCTACATAGAAAGACCCTGTCTAAAAAAAAAAAAAAAACAAAACAAAAAAAAAAACAAGTTAGGTATGGTGGCATACACCTTTAATCCCAAGGAGGCAGAGGCATAGGCCAACCTGGTCTATAGAACAAGTTCCAGGACACCCATGGCTACACAGAGAAACTCTGTCTCAAAAAAAAAGAACCAACAAACCAAAAAAGAAACTGAATGGAGAAAGCACACACAAATAAATGGGGACATTAAGAGAATGAGAAGTGTGTTCAGAATGCAGTCTCTGTACCACCTGGGCACTAGTGGAGGCTGGGGGCAGATGTAGATGAACAGGACAGACCTGGTGGCATCTGGCTGTCTTGGGCACTAGTGCCAGAGAAGGAAGGTGATGGGGCGGAGAGTTGAGATGGGCTGAGAAAATGTGAACGGTAGTAGAATTCTTCTGACTGCTTGGCTCCTCCTGCAGGAATTTTTCACCGACAGCCTGTGGAACACACTCCCCAGCTCATGGCAAGAGGCGCTGGATGGACTAAACCCACCACAGCTGGCCACCCTGCTGCTGGGGATGCCCAGGGAAGGGGAAGAGATCAGGTATGTGCAAGCAGAGGAGCCTTGTGCTGGGGAAGGAGAGCACTGAGCCGTGTATTGAGCCCTGTGTAGACAGTCTCATTGGATCTTCCTGGGCTGCCAGGTCATAAGCTTGTACACTCACAATGTGATTGTGGGCTATTCACCGGCAGCCTGGGCTGGACTATCTCAGGTACAGGTCCGTGTGGCCACTCACCCTGCTGGCCCTGAAGTCCACAGCCTGTGCCCTTGCCTTTACCCGGACACCTGGCTTTCAGACCCCATCAGAGTTCCTGGAGAACCCCAGCCAAAGCTCCCGACTAACAGCACCTTTTCGGAAACATGTCAAGCCCAAGAAGCAGCATGAGATCCGGAGGCTAGGAGAGGTGAGGAGACTGCTAGAGGCTAGACTGTCTGAGAACCTGTGGGTGAGGAAGGCATGTGGCTCTTACTGCATGTGCAGGAACCAGCAACTGCAGAAGCCCCCCTCCTTCCAGACATGCTAGGATCCTATCTTGTTGGTGCTGGGAGGCTTTCCTATCTGTTTTCTGAGTTGGTTGGCAGCTGTGGGGGTGATGGTTTTACCCCTGTTCACTGCAGTCAGTTTTCGGTTTCACAGCCCACAGGGTTCTTGCTCTTGAGTCATTGACTTAAGGAGCAAGCAGACTAGGCTAGACACTTACCATCATCCTCAATTCTGGTTTGACATATCGTGTCTCTGTGGCACCCTCAGTGTTTCCTTCGGTCACCTTGGCTCATCTTCCATCCTTATGGCTTCAGGAGTCAGGAGCCAGTGCCAAGAAGAGACTTTTGTTTCCTCCTCTTTCAGTTGGTGAAGAAGCTGAGTGATCTCACTGGCTGCACCCAGGTTGTGGATGTGGGCTCGGGCCAGGTGAGCCAGACTCTGAACATATTGTCTATTTGAGGAGGCAGATTAGCAGGCCGAATGCCCATGAAAGTAGGTGCTGAGAAGTGGTGGGGGACAGGAAGCCTTTGGTGGGGCCTGGGACCCAGTTGTCTACACCACTGCTAGGGTGACAGTCTACAGGGCACTGGACAATGCGATTCTCCCTCGTGACTCCAGGGCCATCTCTCCCGTTTCATGTCTCTCGGGCTGGGGCTGATGGTTAAGAGCCTTGAAGGAAATCAGAGGCTGGTAGAGAGAGCCCAGCACCTAGACCAGGAGCTTCTGCAGGCTCTAGACAAAATGGAGAAGAAGCACCCACAGGTAAGCTGCCCTTCTTGCAACCTGCACTACAGGAGCCCTGTGCTTGGGGGAACTGCACATTAAAACTCATTGTCTACTTCCAAGTTTCAGTTCGAGATGGTCGTTATTTATCTCTGCTACTTTTTGTCCCTTCCCCAAAGCATCCGCATATCTCCACGGCATTTCTAGTCTGTATAAGTGATTTCCACACCAGTATGTTCTCATGGTAAACTATGATGTGGCCAGATGGGTATTATTAGTTGCTGTGCTAGGGATGGAACCCAGTGCCACTAGCTATATCACTAACCCACACGTGGGTGTTAGACTCATTACCAACAAGAAATAGAAGAGCTGGGATACAGCTCAGTGGTAGGACAGTTGCCTAAGCATTCATCCGGCCCTGAGTTCCATTCTCAGTACCACCAAAAGAAAAAGGGAAGCTGAGCTAGGTATGGTGGTACATGCCTGTAATCCCAGCACTGGGAAGGCAGGGACAGGATCCATGCAGATTTGCTGGCTTGTTCAACATAATGAGCTCCAGGTCAGAAAGAGCTGCAAAGACCTTGTGTCACCCCTACCCTACCCAAAAGAAAAAGAAAAATGATAGGCGAAATGAAAAGGTCTTCAGTCTGAAATGATGGTCTCAAGTGGTTCACAGTCTAGCTCTCTAGTGCCCAGCTTCTCTCCCATATAACTCAGAAAACAGGGTCACTCCTGTGGCCTAAGGATAGCCACCCAACTTTGCATCTGCCTTTTTTTTTCCTCTCCCCACAGGTGGTGCAAAGAGGCCCCCGCCACTCCCCCCGCCACGTGGTTCAGTGGGTCAGCTCCACAGCCCTGTGTGAGGAGCTTCTGCTTCCTCTGGAGACACCAGGCCAGGGTAGTACCCGCCTGCTACTCACGGGCCTCCATGCTTGTGGGGATCTGAGTGTTGCCTTGCTGAGACACTTCTGCTGCTGTTCTGAAGTGGTGGCCCTGGCCTCAGTGGGCTGCTGCTACATGAAACTCAGTGACCCTGGCAGCTACCCGCTGAGTCAGTGGGTGGCTGGGCTGCCTGGCCATGAACTCCCCTACAGGCTCCGGGAGGGGGCCTGCCATGCCCTGGAGGACTATGCGGAGAGGCTACAGAAAGCAGGCCCTGGGCTGCAAACACACTGCTTCCGTGCGGCACTAGAGACAGTCATCCGACATGTCTGCCCTGAGCTTCGGAGGCCTGGCGTGCAAGGAATCCCCAGGGCCCACGAACTCAAGATTGAAGAGTGAGGTCTGGGGAGGCTCCCCACTTATCCCCACTTGCTAGCACAGCCAAAGAAAATGTGTGAGCCCAGAGGAATGGCATGAACTTCTCTAACCAGGGACACTGCTCCAAATTCCTCTGAAAGAAATTGTCCTCCTAGGACTAGGGATGCACCTCAGTTGGTAGAATACTTGTCTAGCATGCATGAGCCTAGGTTCAATTCCCAGCACTGTATAAATTGAGGGTGATGACGTCCACCTGTAACCCTAGCACTGGGGACATGGCAGGAGAATCAGAAGGTCAAGGTTATCCCAAGTTCTTTTCTTTGTTTTGTTTTTTGAGACAGGGTTTCACTGTAACATCCTTGGCTGTCCTGGAAACTAACTCTGTAGACCAGGCTGGCCTCTAACTCACAGAGGTCCTCCTGCCTCTGCCTCCCGAGTGCTGGGATTAAAGGTGTGCGCCACCACCGCCTGTTGCACAGTTCTTTTTTTTTTTTAAGCTCTGGAAATCATCAAATCCAGGACTTTGTACATGCTAGGTAATCAAGTACTTCTACCACTAAGCTATTACATCAGTCCAACAGTTTATAACTACTAAAAATATGGCTAACTTGTAAAAGACTAGATGAAAATAAATTTGGGGACTGTTGCTATTGAACAGGTAACTCACAGCCTGAGAAACATTATTTAAGTGAGTATAGTGGCATGTGTCTGTGACCACAGCACTCTGGCTCTCGAGTCAAGGATGAGGACTGCTTCCATTTTATTTTGAAGGCAGCCTGGACTACAGAGTGAGACTATGTCTAAAAAACACAAAACAGGGCCGGGCGGTGGTGGCGCACGCCTTTAATCCCAGCACTCGGGAGGCAGAGCCAGGCGGATCTCTGTGAGTTCGAGGCCAGCCTGGGCTACCAAGTGAGTTCCAGGAAAGGCGCAAAGCTACACAGAGAAACCCTGTCTCGAAAAACCAAAAAAAAAAAACACAAAACAGGCAGGCATAGTAGCTCATGCCTTTAATTCCAGTACTTGGGAAGCAGAGGCAGGTTCCAGGACAGCTAGACTACACAGAGAAACCCTGTCTGGAAAAACCAAAAATAAAAATAAATAAAATGCCTATTTAAGCAAATCAAAGTAGGAATCAGCTTCGAGACAAAAGTTTGAATGGGGGATGGAAGTTTCTAGAGCTAACTGTATTATGGCTGGTCCCACAGATACGTGCAACAAGGGTTACAGCGAGTAGGTCTGGACCCTCAGCTGCCACTGGATCTGGCTGCCCTTCGGGCCCAGCAGGCCCAAGAGAATCGTGTGGTAGCCTTCTTCAGCTTGGCCCTCCTGCTGGCCCCACTGGTGGAGACACTGATTCTACTAGACCGGCTGCTCTATCTCCAAGAGCAAGGTGAGTCCTTATCCAGTTTGCTGGGCCTGGCCACCACCTAATGAGGGGGGCATTTGTTAGCAAATGAAGATTCCCAGCAGCACCTTCCCCCAGACTGTTTTGTGTTGTTCGAATCGTAGATGGTCCTTTATTTTTTTTTTTTTATTTATTTTTTTTTTTGGTTTTTTCGAGACAGGGTTTCTCTGTGTAGCTTTGCGCCTTTCCTGGAACTCACTTGGTAGTCCAGGCTGGCCTCGAACTCACAGAGATCCGCCTGGCTCTGCCTCCCGAGTGCTGGGATTAAAGGCGTGCGCCACCACCGCCCGGCAAGATGGTCCTTTATTAAAAACCCAGAGCCAGATATCAGGGTGAGAGCTGAAAGATCAGAGAAGCAGAACAGCCAGCCACTAGTTCTCACCTCTACAAAATCCTCAGCCTAAAGAGAGTGAGTTCCTGTTTCCTCATGCCTTATATACCTTTCTCTGCCCTGCCATATTACTTGCTGGGATTAAAGGCATGTGTGCTTCCCAAGCAAAGGCATGAGATCTCAAGTGCTGGGATTAAAGGCGTGTGCCACCACTGCCTGGCTCTGTTTCTCTCCTATAATGGATCAATCTCATATAGCCCAGTGTGGCCTTGAACTCACAGAGATCCAAATGGATTTCTTCCTTCCTGAGTGATTCGATTAAAGGTGTGTGCCACCACTGCCTGACTTCTATGTCTAATCTAGTGGCTGGCTCTTTTCCTCTGATCTTCAGGCAAGTTTATTAGGGTACACAATGTATCACCACAGGTTTTGGTTTTAAGATTTGTGTGTGTGTACACACACCTCATGCTTTGGGGTGTTCAATCCCCTGGACTGGAGTGGCAAGTAGTTGTGCGCCATCCAATGTGGGTATTAGGAACCAAACTTAAGTATAGTGGAAGAGCAGCAAGCATTCTTAACCACTGAACCCCGTCCAGCACCAGTGAGGTGGACTTTAAACAAGTGTCCCAGGCATTGAGAAAGCACATGAGCTACCTCTCTTTGGAATAAGGAGCGGTGCTATTGGACAGACAGGAAGGGTCTGGGTTGACTTGTTTCCCTTCTAATTAACTCTCACTTTCTCCTAGGCTTCTATGCTGAGCTCTTGCCCATCTTCAGCCCTGAACTCTCACCCAGAAATCTGGTTCTGGTGGCTACCAAGACACCCCTAGGTCAGGCCTTCTCTGTTCTTGAGACGGAAGACAGCTAGCTGACAGTCCAAAACCACAGAGTGCCAATGCGGTCAATACATCTTACTGTTTAGAGTGCCTTCATCTTGCGGGATTCTGGCTCTCTGCAAACTTCAGGTGTATACCCTTTCTCCCTTCATATGTAATGTACTGTGTAATTTTTATTTATTAAAACTTTTAAAGCCAGGCAGTGGTGGCATATGCCTTTAATTCCAGCACTTGGGAGGCAGAGACAGGCAGATCTCTGAGTTCGAGGCCAGCCTGGTCTACAGAGTGAATTCCAGGACAGCCAGGGCTGTTATACAGAGAAACCCTGTCTCGAAAAACCAAAACAAACAAACAAAACAAAACAAAACAAAAAAAACTTTTAAGATTTAACTCCTGGTTCTGTAAATAGGGAAAAGGACAAGGGGTCTCCCTGTTTCTACCCCAAACATCGCAGGACCCGTCCTGGGAAGGCTACCATCTACCCAGTCTGTCCTGACAAGAAGAAAAGCTGCACCATGCCTGGGCTCCCCAAAATGCGAGCACTTGGGAAAGGAAGAGGGGCAGGACAGCAGCTGCACTCAGGGCTCTTTATTGGTGTTGGAGGAGGAGGATTCCCCACCCTCAAGGTGAAGACTGAGTAGGCAGAAGCAGCACTCTCGGGCTCAATACCAATAAACCTTCTTGTGTCTTCGAGTCTCCTGGATCCCCATGGCTTCCATCACCTCTTCTTCTAATGTCTTTAGCCGGGGCACATAGGTTCTTTCCAGAGCGTCTTCCACTGATGTGTCCTTGGGGCCATCTGTTGAGTCAGAAGGAAAGGATGAGTTTGCCAACTGTTTATTCCCTGCAGTGTTGGGGATAGAACCCATGACCTTGCACACTGCTAAGCAAGCGCTCTACCACCAAGCTACATTCCTAGCCCCACCAACTTCCCTTTTCCTCTCACACCTCACATCCCTGTCTCCTTCCTGCCCATCCCCAGCTTACCAGTCCATGTTTCTGGGACAATGCCATCCGCTCTAGGAAATTCAGGTTTGGGGATAATTCTCCCAGATCTTGTAGAGACTCGAACTCGCTCTCCTTCCTCAGTAAATCTCCACTGGATCTCAGTGGGTTTCCTGGTAAGTAGAAAAAAATGAGTCTAACTTAGAGCCAGATCCCTGTACCACCCTCCAACCCAAAACTGAAGGCAGTGGCTGAGAACACTGGATTACCACCTTTGTTTCTGTCAGGGTTACTGACAGAATTGTGTGCAAGAAACAGACCTCACTGAGCAGTGCTGGTGCACACTTTAATCCCAGCACTCAGGAGGCAGACAAATCTCTGAGTTCCAGGACAGCCAGACCTACATACACAGAGAAACCCTGCCTCAAAATCCCCACATACTGCCCAAAAAAGGAAACAGACCCCCTGAGCTCCAGCATATCCAACACACCATTCTCATGTGATAAATGGGTCTGCCCAACACCTGTGTGGACTCAAGTTAGAAGCCCCTTGACCAGAGGCCTCTGTGCTTGCCTGTCCACAGGGTCCACTAGCTTGACCTGGTTATGAGGCAAGGGAGCTTCACTGGGGATCATGGTCCCTCGGTGATCCTTGGTTCGGCCAATATAGCGGAAATGCTGTCCAAGAGAAGGCAGTATCAGAAAACAATGTGAGAAGGGAATTTACCTACTACTGCTAAGCATACTCAGCCAGTTTCCCGTCTCTGCATGCTGCTCTTAGGGGGACAGATGGGGAAGACGTCTCAGTTCTCCATCATCCTTCCACTCACCGTGTTCAGCCCCTCCAGGACAACACAGTTCTGCTCTCGAATGACCTGAACCACTTTGCCCTGCTTCCCAGCGTCCTTGCCTTCTAAGATCTCCACCTGTAGGAAGACGAGAGGACAAGGGCAGGACACTGTTGCCCACACACCTTCCTGTCACTCTGTCCTGAGGGTCTCACCATGTCTCCACAGAATAGGTGCCAGTCTTCCTCAGAGATGGGCTCTACCACCATTGGGCGCCGCCTGCTCCATTGGGGATTCCTCTTGTCTGATAGGGAGCCTGGTCGGTTCATCCCATAGCGGTGGTTGAGACCGGGAGTGGCTTTGGATGCCAAGGCCAGCAGGGCCGAAAGACGCATGGTTAGATGTGAGAAATCTCAGCAGTGAAAGACTCAAAAACTCCGTCAGCTATGAGTCAAGAGAAACAGAATGAAGATTCGAACTAAGGGAGAAACTTTTATTTTTTATTTATTTTTGTTTTATGTGCATTGGTGTTTTGACTGCATGTATTTCTGTGTGAAGATGTCGGGTTCCTTGGAACTGGAGTTAACAGTTGCAAGTCACCACATGGGTGCTGAGGAATGAACCCAGGTCCTCTGGAAGAGCAATCAATGCTCTTAACCACTCAGCCGTCTCTCCAGTCCCTCGTTTGTTTTTTGGGAGAGGGTCTCATGAGGTAGCTCTGGCTGACCTAGAACTCACTATGTAGACCAGGCTGGTCTTGAACTCTCAAATCCATCTGCTTCTGTCTCCTTTCCTAGTACCAGGACTAAAAGTATATACCACCACACACAACCCAGGAATGTTACTAAAGTATCGACTGTCCTGCGCAGTGGACTTCATCTCGCTGACTCTTCTCACAGGTTATCTTTACAAATGAGAAAACAGCCTGGCGGTGGTGGCGCACGCCTTTAATCCCAGCACTCGGGAGGCAGAGCCAGGCGGATCTCTGTGACTTCGAGGCCAGCCTGGGCTACCAAGTGAGTTCCAGGAAAGGCGCAAAGCTACACAGAGAAACCCTGTCTCGAAAAAAACAAAAAACAAAAAAAAACAAATGAGAAAAAAATGAGTTCATATATTATCCATGGTGACAAAGCTACTATGGGGTGGGGGGTCTCTATTCAAACCACATATATCTGACTTCACTGAGACCACCGGGCAGTGGTGGCACACGCCTTTAATCCCAGCACTGGGGAGGCAAAGGCAGGCGGATCTCTGAGTTCGAGGCCAGCCTGGTCTACAGAGCGAGTTCCAGGACAGCCAGGGCTATACAGAGAAACTTGTTTCAAAAAAAACAAAAAACAAAAAAGAAAAAAAAATCCACTGAGGCCAAGGGCCACACTATCTATCTAGCTCCTTGAATCGCTATCTCAGGAGAGCTTGGCACTTAAGATACTTAAGACAGTTATTAAATGAATGCATGAACAGCAGGGCAGGAGGGAAAATGGGCAATGGAGGAGAGCACCAGGACAGCCTGAAGGCAAGCAGCCACGAGGCAAGGCGAACAGAGTGGTAGCAGGGATAAGAACAGCTTACAGTGGGCCTATGTAACAGGCCCCAGACCTTCACACAATTGACTCCATGATAGAAGTACCATTCAGGCCATAAAACTCAGCACACAGACAGCACCACCAGCTGTCTGAAATGAAAACCAAGACCTAATCTATCAAAGTCCATAGTTCTGGGAAAGTCTCTAAATGTACCAACCTTGCTTTTTGGTTTTGTAGTTCTGCTTTTGGCTAATTGTTATTGTTAACTGAAGAATGTTAACCCAGGATATGTTTTTTGTGCTTAAAAACTAACCTTGAGCCAGGCGGTGGTGGCGCACGCCTTTAATCCCAGCACTCGGGAGGCAGAGCCAGGCGGATCTCTGTGAGTTCGAGGCCAGCCTGGGCTACCAAGTGAGTTCCAGGAAAGGCGCAAAGCTACACAGAGAAACCCTGTCTCGAAAAAAACAAAACAAAACAAAACAAAAAAACTAACCTTGAGAAATGCTTGGGGCTACACTGAGATCCCAAACATTCAGTGTAGTCACCAGCCAGCTAGTAAAGACTATTTGCTTGAACCTGTGTCTAAGCAGTCTTTTCTGGTGGTTTCCCCCAACACCTATCCCACTTATACCCTCACACAAGAAAGACTCACTCCTCCCTAAGGATAGCTTTTTCTCTAAGACTTAAGTCTTTAAAGACCCCAAGGCTACACTGTAAGGTTGTTGATTCCTGGGGCTGGAGAGATGGCTCAGAGGTTAAGAGCACTGCTTGCTCTTCCAAAGGTCCTGAGTTCAATTCCCAGCAACCACATGGTGGCTTACAACCATCTGTAATGAGATCTGGCGCCCTCTTCTGGCCTGCAGGGATACGTGGAGACAGAACACTGTACACATAATAAATAAATAAACCTTTAAAAAAAAAAAAAAAGGTTGTTGATTCCTAAGTTTCCTATCTAAGTATGTGCTAACAGACTCCCCAATTTGGGCAGTGGACTAAATTAACAGATGACTGAAATAACTGGTAAAAAGTGCTTTAAGCCAAGCCTTCCAGCTACTTGATGTAAAGGATCACAAGCTCAAGACCCCCTTGAATAATTTGGTGAGACCCTGTCTCAAAAAGTAAAAAAGGGCCGGGTGGTGGTGGCGCACGCCTTTAATCCCAGCACTTGGGAGGCAGAGCCAGGCGGATCTCTGTGAGTTCGAGGCCAGCCTGGGCTACAGCGCGAGATCCAGGAAAGGCGCAAGCTACACAGAGAAACCCTGTCTCGAAAAACCAAAAAAAAAAAAAAAAAAAAAAAAAAAGAAAGTTAAAAAAGGGAGCTAAAGAGACGGCTCAGCATTTAAGAACACTTGTTCCTGCTGTGGAATAATCCTTCTGTACACTGTGAATATGTATTGCTCTCATTGGTTAATAAAGAAGCTGATTGGCCTATAGCAAGGCAGGATAAAGTTAGGACAATCAAACTGAGGATGCTGGGATGAAGGGTGGAGTCAGAGGAGATGCCACTCAGCTGCTGAGGAAGCAGGACATGTAGAAAATGAGGTAACAAGCCATGAGCCACAAGACAAAGCATGGATAAGAAATATGGGTTAATTTAAATGTAAGAGTTGGCTAATAACATGCCTGAGCTATCAGCCACACATTTATAATGTATATTAAGCCTCTGAGTGATTATCTGAAAGCAGTTGTGGGACAGGAACATTCCACCTACATGTTCCTCTTCCAGAGGACCTGCATTTGATTCCCAGCAACCCACATGGTGTTTCATGACCACATATGACTCTAGTTCCAGAGGATCCAATGCCCTCTTCAGGCCTTTATAGGCATCAGGCATGCATGTAATGCATATACATACATGTAGGCAAAGCATGCATTTAAAAGAATGAATAAATCCAATTTTAAAAAATGGTAAAACGGGCCGGGCGGTGGTGGCGCACGCCTTTAATCCCAGCACTCGGGGGGCAGAGGCAGGTGGATCTCTGTGAGTTCGAGGCCAGCCTGGGCTACAGAGTGAGTTCCAGGACAGCCTCCAAAGCTACACAGAGAAACCCTGTCTCAAAAAACCAATAATAATAAAATTAAAAAAAAAAAATGGTAAAACGAAGCCAGGTGGTGGTGGCGCATGCCTTTAATCCCAGCACTTGGGAGGCAGACCCAGGCAGATCTCTGTGAGTTCAAGGCCAGTCTGGTCCGCAGAGCAAGATCCAGGACAGGCACCAAAACTACATGGAGAAACCCTGTCTCAAAAAACAAAACAAACAAACAAACAAACAAAAAAGGTAAAAAGAGCCAGATGTGGTAGTGCACACTTGTAATGGCAACACGTGGTAAGTAAGAACAAAAAGACCGTAAGTTTGAGGCTTGAGGCTAGGCTGGGCTACATAGAAAAACCTTGACTTTTAAATATTTTTAAAAATTTTTTTAAAGATTTATTTTATGTATCTGCATGTACACCTTTATGCCAGAAGAGGGCATCAAATCCCACTATACATGGTTGTGAGTCACCTTGTGGTTGCTGTGAATTGAACTCAGGACCTCTGAAAGAGCAGCCAGTGTTCTTAACCTCTGAACCATCTCTCCAGCCCCCAACTTTTAAATATTTTATTAGAATGGAGTGTTGTTTTTTTTAACTCTTCTTTCTTTGGCTGTTTGGGGGCCCCACCACCCAGCTCTCAAATAAATCACACGGAGGCTTATTCTTACTTATGAATGCCCAGCCTTATCTTGGTTTATTTCTAGCCAGCTTTCCTTAAATTATTTCATCCACCTTTTGCCTCTGGGATTTTTCTTTTTCTTACTTCTGTATGTCCTACTTTCACTCCTACTCCATGGCTGGCCGTGTGGCTGAGTGGCTGGGCCCTAGTGTTCTCCTCTCCTTCTCATGCTCCTTCCATTCTCCCAGATTTCTCCTCCTCCTTTATTCTCTCCCTGCCAGCCCTGCCTATCCTTTCTCCTGCCTTGCTATTGGCTGTTCAGCTCTTTATTAGACCAATCAGGTGTTTCAGACAAAGTAACATAGCTTCACAGAGTTAAACAAATGCAACATAAAAGAATGCAACATGCCAGGCAATGGTGGCACACTCCTTTAATCCCAGCACTCGGGAGGCAGAGGCAGGTGGACCTCCTATGAGTTTGAGGCCAGTCTGGGCTACAGAGTGAGTTCCAGGACAGCCAAGGTTATACAAAGAAACCCTGTCTCGAAAAACCAAAAAATAAATTAGTTAAAAATAAAGAATCGCCGGGCGGTGGTGGCGCACGCCTTTAATCCCAGCACTCGGGAGGCAGACCCAGGCGGATCTCTGTGACTTCGAGGCCAGCCTGGGCTACCAAGTGAGTTCCAGGAAAGGCGCAAAGCTACACAGAGAAACCCTGTCTCGAAAAACCAAAAAAATAAAAAAAAAAAAAAAAATAATCAATGAGTGCATTAGGACATACCTTTTATCCCAGCACTTGGGTGGCAGATCTTAGTGAGTTCAAGGCCAACCTGGTCTATATAATGAGTTCTGAGCCAGCCAAGACTACATAATGAGACCCTGTCTTAACAAACAAAAATAAAATAAAATGCTAAGTGTGATGACTCATGCATTGGGAGTCAGAAGCATAAGGATTACTATGCGTTCAAGGCCAGCCTGCCCTATACAGTACCTACAGACTAGTCTGAGCTACAAGGTGAGACCTATCTGAATCAAAACAACGAAGTAAAAAGGCTCAATGTAGAATGCTAACCTAGCATGCAGTGAGCTTTATAAATAGCTGCTGCTGCTAGCCTGGTACCATGCTAAGCAGCATCTCACAGAAGCCTAAGGGCAGCGATGAAATTGCTCTTGAGCTCATCACTGGGTTTTCTGTTTTTTATATTGTAATTTTTTTTTGGTTTTTTTTTTTTTTTTTTTTTTTTTTTTTTTTTTTTTTTTTTGGTTTTTCGAGACAGGGTTTCTCTGTGTAGCTTTGCGCCTTTTCCTGGAACTCACTTGGTAGTCCAGGCTGGCCTTGAACTCACAGAGATCCGCCTGGCTCTGCCACGGAGTGCTGGGATTAACGGCGTGTGCCACCACCGCCCGGCGGGTTTTCTGTTTTTGTGTGCTCTGTGTGTGTGTGTGTGTGTGTGTGGTCATTAAACTTGGGGACTCACATATGATGGACAAGTAATTTTGTGTAAGTGGGCTACTCCTCCCTTCTTTATACCCAGGATAGGAGAGGCAGGGAAAGCCCAGTGTTATCCACGATGCTAGAGGGGCACAAGGGCTTAAATATTTCTATTCAGATCCAACACACTGAATCTAAGGACCTGACAAGTTCAAAACTGACTGAGAATTTCAACGTATTTGGTCTTCCCAAGTACTCAGGAAGTGATACAAGTATCATTAAGATCCTGTTCACTAACACGAAAAACAGGCCTAAGGCAGCTTCACAGGAGTGTGTGTGTCTCTCAAAAAATCCTTAATACTGGTTCAGTCACTCCAGGCCTGAGGCTCTGGGAGGAGAAAGCAGGCCCGGACACGCCCCCCTCCATATTTCCCTTCGGTTCCCTACACCACCGGATGCTAGTGCCACTTCCGCGGTGGAGCTTTCTTCTCCATGCAAGCACTCGGGGCAGGGCCTCCAGGTCTTCCCCTGTCAGACTCACCCAGATCCAGGGATAGCTCCAACCTCCTAGTAAAGAGAAACCCAAGGAGGAGGACTGCGCCCCAATTTAAGGCTAGGAAAAGGAAGTCCCTTCGAGTATCCGCCTTCTGAGGACCACCGGCGCCGAGCGGGCTCACCTTTCCCAATCTTTCTTAGCACGTGGGTGCTGCTCTGGCAGTCTCCGCCCACTGGATTTCTGGGAGATGTAGTCTAATAGCAGAGCGGAAGCTCAATAACGCAGCGAGTCTCTCAGCTTGCTGGGAACTGTATTCCGTCGCTACAAAATGACCTGAAAACGGGAAATTTGGCCAAAAGTAGGAAATTTCGAGGGTGAGAGGCACGTCGGGAATTGAAGGCGAAAGATAGGCGGATTCACAGGGTACTTTCCGGTAAGTGCTCTGCGTGGTGGCCACTGGGAGATGTAGTTCACAGAGAACATGACTCCATTTTCTAGGTGGTTAGGGCTTCCTAGTCAAAGCAAAGGGATCCATTTCTAGGTGGGATTACAGCCATTATGTCCTGGCTCTTCTCTGCTTGAGGGACCAGGGCAGATTAAAAAACTGCCCCACCTTTATAGAGGAAGGGATAATCGTGGGTCCTTCCGATACTAGATGAGCTAATCATTCTACTAAAGTAGAGCATACCGGGAGGTTACCACCGTGTCCACCTCCCACCTACCTGCCCACCCACCATCAGTGAGTGGACTGGCAGGCATCCCTAGCAAAGCCTAGCATTGAGACCAGATGTCCTGATTAGCTCGCTCTTTGACCACTCACCTGCCTGCCCTGATCAGATCAAGTATGTTTTTCATTACTGTGAATCTGATGGTGATTGAGAGCTTTGGATGGGCTATCCCCCTAACCTGTCCAGTTTGTAATGTCAGGAACTTCGTTAGTGAACTAATCAGTGACTAGAAGAGCCTGAAGAAATGGCCTTTGTTCTTAGGATGTGTATAACTAGGAAAGGATTCCTGAGGCCATCAGCATCAGGTGTGTGTCATTAACCTCACACCTCCACCTCATCTCTGAGAAGGCACCCCTACTATCATTCTGTGCCCGAGACTTATGAAGGCAGGCTGGCCTGTCCTATCCATAAACCAGCCTCTCAGCAAGATAGAGTTGGAGTCTTGTCTTCTCAACTGTTGTTTCTGAGATAGTGTCTCATGTAGCCCGGGCTCACTTCAAACTTGCTAGTTTCTGCCCTCTCTTCTCAGCTGCTGGAGTTAGCATCAAGCCTGGTTTATGTGGTGCTCCAGACTAAATCCACCTAGGGCTTACTGCATATTCAGTAAGTATTCTTATCAGCTACATCTCCACCCCCACTCCCCAGTTATTCTTTCTTCTAAATATTTATTTTTTATGCATATGTGCCTTCATTTTTTTTTTTTTAGACGGGGTTTCTGTGTATCCTTGGCTGTTCTGAACTCTGTAGACCAGGCTGGTTTTGAACTCAGAAACCCGCCAGGCGTTCCCCACCACCAAATGCCTTCATAATTTTATGTGTACCAAATGTGTGCTGGTAGTGCCTATGAAGGCCAGAAGATGAAGGTATTGGGAGCCCTGAAACTGGAATTCCAGGTGGTTGTGAGCTGCCTGATGTGAGTGCTGGGAATCCTCTGCAACTGCCAAGCCATCTGTAGATCTTCAAGTGAACTTTGAAATCAAGTCATGGGCTAGAGAACAGGCTCAGCCGTTAAGAGCACTGGCTGCCCTTCCAGAGATCCTGAGTTCAATTCCCAGCAACCACATGGTGGCTCACAACCATCTGTAATGGGATCTGATACCCTCTTCTGGCATAAAGTCAATGGAGCACTCTTACACATAAAATAAATATTTTTTTAAAGCCATAATTATTGCCTTATTATTTATTGAGACAGAGTCTTATTATGTAGCTCTGGCTGTCCTAGGACTAAATACATAGTGACACGTAGTACATGTAGGCTGGCCTTGAGCTCAGAGATCACATGTGCTCCAGTGCTGTGTACTACCATGCCTTAGCTAAAACAAGCTGACATGTGGCTAGCAACCTAACTAGCATTAAATGTTTCACTTCTCCCTAAACTTTGACATGCTCTTGAAGGTCCAAGATATTTCTAGAACCACACCAAACACTCAGTTCTTCCCAGCACTAAATTTAGAGACTAAGGCAAAAGGACCATGAGTTTGAGACCAATAGGGAGACCCTATATCAAAAGCAAAAACCAGGGATGGCTATGCAGACCTGAAATCTCAACACTTGGGAGATCAGTTTAAGGTCATCCTCAGCTGTATAGTTAGTATGTATCCTGGGTTACATGAGACTGTCTCAGACAAGTCACACACTTTCCATGACCACTTGTGAAACGTCCTCACACTCCATCTCTTTCTCTTTTTTGAAGCACTGGGAAGGTATTGAACCTAGGTCCTCAAGCATCTGTATACATCTGATCTCATGTATTATACCTCAGGCTGGTCTAGAGCTTGCTGCACACCTGCAGGTGACTTTATTGGGCTGGTCAGATAGCTCAATGGGTAAAGGCACCTACCTGCCTGATGATCTGGGCTCAATCCTGGGTCCCACATGGTGGAAAGAAAACCTGATTCCTGCAAATTGTCCTTTGATCTTCACAGAGGCACACAAAGTAAAATGTAATAAAAACTTAGATGTATGTTATGAATATTCTGCCTCCATGTATATGTACCACATGTGTGCCTGGTACCCAGGGAGGTCAGCAAAGGGTGTAGGATCCCTTGGAGCTGAAGTTATGGATGGTTCTGAGCCAGTGTAGGTGCTGGCAACTGAACCCAGGTCCTCTGCAAGAACAAGTGCTCTGTAACTGCTAAACCAGCTCTCCAATTACCATATACTGTGCTTTTGGCTTGTTTTCTTACAAACTGTCTTTTTTTTTTTTTATTTTTTGGTTTTTTCAAGACAGGGTTTCTCTGTGTAGCTTTGCGCCTTTCCTGGTACTCGCTCTGGAGACCAGGCTGGCCTCGAACTCACAGAGATCCACCTGCCTCTGCCTCCCGAGTGCTGGGATTAAAGGCGTGCGCCACCACCGCCCGGCCACAGACTGTCTTTTAAACATTTATTTACTTAGTGGGATTAGGAATTAACTCAGTAAAGGCCCTGGTTTTTAGTCCTCAGCTCTGAAAGAAAAATAATTTGTATAGGCATGAGTGCAGGCACTTCGGCCACCACATACCTACGAAGTTAGAAGATATCTTCCAGAAATCAGTTCTCTTTCACATTGTGAGGCAGGTGATAGACGAACAGACCAGTTTACTCTCTGCCCAGGAGTACATCCAGCTTTCTGGGTCTCTGGCAGAAAATTCATATCATCTGGCTTGTGTGGCAAGTATAAACTGATCCTCCTGCCTCCATCTCCAGTGTTTTAGGAATTACAGGAATGTATCCATCACACCTTTTTGCTTGGGGACCAAATCCAGGACTTCTGATTTATGCACACTAGGCAATCAGTCTACCAAATGGGGTGTGTGTGTGTGTGTTTTTTGGTTTTTCGAGACAGGGTTTCTCTGTGTAGCTTTGCGCCTTTTCCTGGAACTCACTTGGTAGCCCAGGCTGGCCTTGAACTCACAGAGATCCGCCTGGGTCTGCCTCCCGAGTGCTGGGATTAAAGGCGTGCGCCACCACCGCCCAGCCCGTGTGTGTGTGTGTGTGTGTGTGTGTGTGTGTGTGTGTGTCTTTATGTATATATCCTTAGCCACTTAAACCCCATTTCTTTCCTCTTTGGTTTTTTAGAGACAGGGTTCCTCTGTAGCTTTGGAGCCTGTCCTGGAACTCACTCTGTAGACCTAGCTGGTCTGGAACTCAGAGATCTGCCTGCCTCTGCCTCCCCACTGCTGGGATTAAAGGTGTGTTCCACCACTGGGCTTTAAAATCTATTTCTTTTTTTTTTTTTTTTTGATTTATTTATTATGTATACAGCATGTACACATGCAGGCCAGAAGAGGGTATCAGATCTTACTACAGATAGATGGTTGTGAGCCACCATGTGGCTGCTGAGAATTGAACTCAGGACCTCTGGAAGAGCAGTCAGTGCTCTTAACCTCTGAGCCATCTCTCCAGCCCCTCTTTTAAAAAAAAAAAAAAAAATTTATTAAATAGTACACAGAAAGGGCACCAGATTTCATTACAGATGGTTGTGAGCCACCATGTGGGTGCTGAGAATTGAACTCAGAACCTCTGGAAGAGCAGTCGGTGCTCTTAACCTCTGAGCCATCTCTCCAGCCCCTCTTTTTAAAAAAAAAAAAAAAAAATTTATTAAATAGTACACAGAAAAGGGCACCAGATTTCATTACAGATGGTTGTGAGCCACCATGTGGGTGCTGAGAATTGAACTCAGAACCTCTGGAAGAGCAGTCGGTGCTCTTAACCTCTGAGCCATCTCTCCAGCCCTAAAACCTATTTCTTATGTCAGTTTGTGTGTGTGTACATGGCTGGGGGGCAGGGTGGGGTGGGGTGTCAGACACAGTCTTTTTCATAAAGCCCAGGCTGGCACTGACCGTGTGATCCTCCTGCCTTCCCACTGCTGAGAATACAGATTTGTGCTACCACACCTGGCTCAAAAATATGTTAGACCAGTTGCTGAAGAAAAGGCTCAACAAGCAGTTGCTGTTCTTGCTCTTGCACAGGACTTGGGTTTGGTTGCCAGAAGAACCCACATAGTGACTCACAACCACCCTTAATTCCAGTTCCAGAGACCCAATGGCCTCTTCTGACCTCCTCGGGTACCAGGCTTGCAGGTGGTGCACATATATGTGGGCAAAACATTCATAAAATATACCTAACAAAATTCATGAAAATGTTTTGGACCCTCCCAGATGCTTGCAAGGGTAGACTGGATGGTATGGTTTCTGTAGCCTTCCTTATGTGGGAATGGAGATGAGGTCCCTCCTTTAACCCGAGGAGGAGGAGATAGAGATCACTTGTTTCCCTTCCCTCTTCAGTTACCCAGACACTCCAAAGAATCAGTCGGAATCCAGGATAGTAATCAACGGCTTTATTTTCCTAGAACTCAAATTGTCTATGGTTCTCAGAGCTACACTTCCAAAGCGACAGTCAGCAATTTTTCTTCAGAGCCCAAGGGAGGGATAGGAGTAAAGACAAGAGAAGGAGGGGGGCATAAGCCCCGAAGAGGCTGGGAGAGCACTTTTCCCTGTATTCAGTGGGCTACAAACTGGACGTGTGACACCACCAGAGGACCAACTCTGGAAGAACAGCAAGCCCCAGCTCCAAAGAGTCATCAACTCCAACACAAGGGGAACCTCCCAGTGCACCTCGGAACCGGGTCAGTAGTGGGGGGCACACAAAGGGTTGGGATTAACAGGCTGGTTGTTTTTTTTTTCCTTTTTTGCAATTTTCTTTTATTAAAAACATTTCCTAAAAAATGTGTCTTTTCCTTTATGTCTGGGTGATATATCTGACTAGAGGCTGGCCTTGAGCATTGTGGGAAGAGGGAAGAAGGCAGCAGGGTCTCCCCACGTTACCCCATCCTCTGACCTGAGATCTAAAGAGAGACATTTACTCAATGCAAATGATGAGTCAACCCTTCAGATTATAAGCTCTCTCCAGGTCCTTGGCCCTAACAACGTAGAAACTCCAAAGTCTTGATGTTAAACTACAATTCCTTGAACCCTGGGGTCAGGGGGGAAAAATGCTCTCAAAATCACCAAGGATTCATGGACGGGAGCCTCTCTCCCACAGTGTCCCCTTAGCTTGAATTTAGGCAGATGGGAAAATAGGCGTGGAAGCGAGAGACAGGATCTCAGGAGACGCCCCCCAGGAACCCACACTCAAGTTCATAGTCCATCAGCCCACTCCTGCCCCAACCCAGCCCAAAGGTCTAGAATGCCTGCAGGAGGGCAGAGGCGTCAAGAGGTGGAAGTAGCAGCCCAGGCCCCAACACAAGCCCGAGGAGACAAGTCTAAGGAGATAGAATGGCCCCCTCTCATCCCAGGGCCCAGGGCCCAGACTCAGGTCCTAGGGTACAGGGACCTGGAGGAGAGGGTCAAGCCAATCTCCAGAGGTGGGCTTAAAAACGAGAAAGTGAGTGAAGGAGGAGAGTGGGGTGGGTGGGAAAAGTGTTCCCAGTTTGCAGGCCATGGCCAGTTTCCCCAGTAGCACCCAGACAGCAGCAGGAACGGGGCAGGGGCTCCTCTTGAAACATTGGTGGCTACAGGCTGCAGGGGAGGGTTGGAGGGAGAAGGGTTAATGGTGTGGCCTTGGCCTGCTCTTACCCCAGCCAGCCTCCAGAAAGGCTGACTACTGCAGGCCCTCCTCTGCACCCTCCTCCTCCTCTCCGTCAGTGGCTGAGCCCTCCAGGCCCACTGCCAAGGCAGCTCACTCACCTCTCATCATCTCTGACGCCCTGGGCTTCGGCCGCTTCCTTGGCAGCCTCCTCCTCCTCCTCCTCCTCCTCTTCCTCCTCCTCCTCTTCCTCTGGAGGAGGCCCCCGGCCAGAGTCTGGCTCAGAGGGGGTGCTGTTCTTCTCCATCTCTACTGGTAGGGGCCTCTCCCCCTCCAAGGTAGCCATCTCCTTCTCCTCCTCTTCATGGTCTCCTGACTCCTTGGGACGTTTAGGGGAGTCCTGGGCAGAGGATCAGAGGACCTCACTGAGGCTAGTAACAGGAGGTCAACAGCTAACCTCCCTGTGCCTACATGCCTCTCTCCAGGGTGATACTGTCCCGCTACTCTCTGCTACCCAGAAGGCCTGTGTCCCATTCTCAGTTGGATTCCCAGAAACTGCGGACTGGATTTATACCTCAGACTCAGGGAAATGCCGCGGGCACCTGGCAGTTACCTCGAGCATGTCCCCCGCTCTCCGCTTCAGCATCCCCTTCTCGTTCTTCTCCTTGGTTGGCTCGTCGATGACCAGTTTCCCCTCCTCGTCACTGCTACCCTCGGCATTGCCCTTCTTATCACCATCGCCCTCGGGGACTTCCGGCTCCAACTCGGGCTCTTCCACACAACTCTTTTTCTGGGAGGACTGTGGCGGAGACATCAGAGGCTGAGTGGCACCAGAGACTAGCCCCCCCAACCACCCCCTTGGACACTCGCTCCTTCTTTGCCCGCCTCTCCCCCACCCCCACCCAGGTGCCCAGTCTCACAGGTGTTCTGAGACCCACCTCTGTTGGATTAGCCCTGGGGTTAACCCACAGGCCGGGCAGGCAGGGCTCTGTGCAGGAGGGGGGAGGGCTGGAGCAGGAGGCAAAACCTCGGGTCAGCTTCTCCCAAGGGGTCTGGGGCCCGTTCCCCACGACCCCCGCTCCCCCGCCCTCCCGCCTTGTCCTGCCCGGCTCACGAGAGCCTTCTCTCGGAAGCCTATGTCCTCGTACTGATGAGGGCCCAACAAAGGCTTACCCTACTTACCGCCTCCGTCCTATGTCCTATTCTTGCCCCAGTCACCCCGCGCCCCCCAGCTCCCTCTGGCAAGAAGTCCCGTCTCCACCACCCCAAAGGCCCTGAGATTCTCAAGACTAGGCGTTGCCTGTGGGCAAGGTTCCTGAAGCCCACAATACACCTGCTTTCCAGGGCTTGGAGGGGCAACTAACTGCTCACCTGGTAGCCAGAGGCCTTGACTGTAGGGTTGTTCTCGATCTCCCACAGTCCCTCGCTGAACCCTTTCCTCTTGTTGGGCTTGCCAAACTTCTCCTTGGATTCCTCGTAAGGGAAGAGGTCTTTGGGGCCCAGGAATGCCCTGGTGAGAAATAGGAGACTGTGCTCTCAAGCCCCAAGCTGTTCCCAATTAAACGCCAGACACGGACAAGTACCCCCCTTTCCCAAAATGGTGTTCCCACAGTGTTCCACCTGCCCCCACTGGCCCCTCACTCACGTCTCGTGGGTCCCAAAGAAAAAGACTTGGTATTTGTTGGCTGTTGATTTCACGGCAGCCTCAGGCATCTCATCAATCTAGGGCAAGGAAGGGAGAGAAAATATGAACTGGAGTCCCAAGGCCTTTATTCTGGGGCAAGGTGACATCTGTATAAAGCCAGGCACACCAGGACTCCAGAGATTACCCAATTTGCAAAACATTCTTAGTAGTACAACTTGTCCAAATGAAATTAGACAGGAAAGCCTAACCCAGGCCGACTTCACTCCCCTTCACCAAAGAACATCTTCTCCAATATCCAATCCTGGCCAAAGTGCCATTACCTCTGCCACCCTCAAGCCCAATACTGTCACTTTTTTTATTTTGACACAGTGCCTTGCTATGTAGCCCAGGCTGGCCTCCAACTCAAGATCCTCCTACCTCGCCTCCTGACATGCCAGCATACCCACCTCCAATTATGAAATGTCAATCAAAGCATCTCAGCTCTTCCAATGCTTTCTCATGATCACAGCCCACCTCTCTCAATGACAAAGTCGGAACCCCCCCTTCCTCCAGGGCCGTTACGTAACTGACTCTGTAGACCAAGCTGGCCTTGAAAGCCAGCTAAAATAAGTCTGAAAACTTTGAAAGCTAATAAAGTAAGTCAAACCTTTTTCACAGATGGGGAGACTGAGTGCAGAAAAGAATGCCCTTCCCAAGAAAAACATGGCACATTATAATAAGGACCAGAATTCAAGCCCAATTACTTTCCTTTTTTTGGTTTTTGTTTTGTTTTTGAGACAGTTTCTTTGTGTAGCCAGGCTGTCCTGGAACTAGCTCTGTATAGATCAGGCTGGCCTCGCACTAACAGAGATCCACCTGCCTCTGCCTCCAGAATGCTGGAATTAAAATTCTGTGCCACCACCATCCAGCTCTAAATTTCTTAAAAAAAAAAAAAAAAATCATTTATTGCCCAGCAGTGGTGGCACACTCCTTTAATGCCAGCACTTGGGAGATGGAGGCAGGCGGATCTCAGTGAGTTTGAGGCCAACCTGGTCTACAAAGTGAGTTCCAGGACAGAGAAACCCTGTCTCAAAAAACCAATGTGTGTGTGTGTGTGTGTGTGTGTGTGTGTGTGTGTGTGTATGTGTATCATATATATGTATTTATTTTTTTGTGTATTGATGTTTTCTCCAAATGTTGTTTCTGTGTACCTCATGAATACCTAAGGACACCAGAAGAGGGTGTCAG